AAAAAAAAAAAAAAGTTTTTTCACATAATCCTTGGAGCTACCAAAAAATACTAGTTTTCCAAATGAGAGAGTGAGTTAAGTTTTCCTTACCTTGGAAAACTCTTCCTGGTTTTCTCATGATCTTCCTTTGATTACTTCATTGGTTTGGGGTTAGAATAACAACAAGAAATATATCTATATGTTGTTTTCCCTTTTTATATTTCATTTTAAGGCCAGCAGTACCACTTCTGAACTCCAACAACGAGAAAATGTCAGATCCCAGTATGGAAGCTAACAGTCACTACGGTAAAGTCACGGTCTCCTGCCATTGCTAATTTTCCCCAGCTTGCTACATACTTCCTTATCCCTCTCAGAAGCAGAATTTGTAAGTAGTGGGAATGCAGTTGGAAGAGAAACCCTGGCTTCAACAGGGTACTTCATCTCATCAGCCACTGGGCCGTGAGCTAATATACAGAAACGTAAAAGGAAAGGTAGCACATTTTATTCTAACTTCGCCACCTTCTAAACTCCCCGTAGATGAAAGATGGAGAATAATCATAACGCCTTGTTACCTTCAAAGACTTTGACATTATTCCAGCATATTATCATTCTCCATTTTCAAGACAGAGACCAGATATTGAATGAAAGCACTGGTAAAACATCTTCTCAGATGGAATTATTACAAGCACAAGACGGTTTTCCTTCAAATTTGCCACAAAGGGAAAGCAATTTCAGTATTCTCTTAGTAGAGGCGTAAAAAAAAAAGTGTTCCGATTAAGATATATCTAGTCATAAGGCTCATCACTAGCATCAGGGTCAGCTCAGCTGAATGATAGCCAGTCCTAGGAGTTCTTAATCCCAGCTTAGTAAGAAAATTGCTCAAGCATTTCAGCAGGGATGCTACTTACTTCCCAGAGGGGGGCTATAATTACATCACACAAAAAGTCCTGTCCCAGACCAAATTTGGAACACTCTTCCTCTTTTCTTTCTTCCTTCCTTCCTTCTTTCCTTCTTTCTTTCTTCCCTTCTTTCTTCTCTTTCTTTCCTTCCTTCCTTCCTTCCTTCCTCCCTCCTTCCTTCCTTCTTCCCTTCCCTTCCCTTCCCCTTCCCTTCCACTCCCCTCCCCTCCCCTCCCCTCCCCTTCCCTTCCTTTCTTTCCTTTCACAGGGTCTTCCTAGGCCTGCAGTGGTGCAATCTCACCTCACTGCAGCCTCTACCTCCCAGGCTGAGGTGATCCTCCCATCTCAACCTCCTGAGTAGCTTGGATCACAGGCATGCATCACCATGCCCAGCTAATTTTTATTTTTTGTAGAGATGGCACTCTACAATCCACTAGTTTCAGACTCCTGGGCTTAAGCAATCCTTCTGCCTTGGCCTCCCAAAGTACTGGATTACCGGTGTGAGCCACTGAGCCCAGCCACTTTTATTGCTTTATCAGCAGGTTTGGTCAGAGAATGCTCACGTTCTTTTCTAATTCTATAAGTATCTCACAAAATAAGACATTTTTAGGATATACCTTTTACAGAGACATATTTTGCTTGAGAAATATGTTTTAAGAATTGAGTAATTCATATAGTACTGAGTCATAAACTTTAAAAAAGGAAAATAAAATATTTGTAGTAATAAAAGTAGTGTGTCAGTAAATAGAAAAGAGCAAATATATTGTTTAAGAAACTATATTCTAGGCTGTGCGTGGTGGCTCATGCCTGTAATTTCAACACTTTGGGAGGCCGAGGCAGGTGGATCACTTGAGGTCAGGAGTTTAAAACCACCCTGGCCAACATGGTGTAACCCTGTCTCTACTAGAAATGCAAAAAATTAGCCGGGCATGGTGTGCATGCTTGTAATCCCAGCTACTCAGGAGGCTGAGGCAGGAGAATCGCTTGAACCTGGGAGGCGGAGGTTGCAGTGACCTGAGATCACAACATTGCACTCCAGCCTGAGCAACAAGAGTGAAACTCCATCTCAAAGAAAGAAAGAAAAAGAAAGGAAGGAAGGAAGGAAGGAAGGAACTATATTCAGGCCAGGCATGGTAGTTTATGCCTATAATCCCAGCTCTTTGGGAAGCTGAGGTGGGAGGATCACTTGAGGCCAGGAGTTCAAGACCAGCCTGTGCAACAAAACGAGACCCCCCATCTCTTAAAAAAAAAAAAAAAAAAGGTAAATATTTACCAAAAAGTAATCTACTGCTACAGAAAAAATAATACCTTTTTGGCATAAGGGGCTTCTGTCGGTAATTTGTATTATTTATATATAAGTACAACATTTAACTAAATTAAATGTTGATATAGGTTTATATGAAAATAAGATTTTTCTCCAAATTTCCAAATACTCCAATTCTTATTATATCATCTCTGCATAGATTATTTCAATTTATAAATATATTTTAATAATTATGATAGTAATTAATTCAAATACATGATGGAAAACCGTGTGTTCAAGAATAGTATTTGTGACATTTGTAAGAATTCTTTGTAATAAAGGACAACTTAATAAAAAAAAAGACAAAAGTGGTCTTTGTCCATGCCCACTGAGATGATAACCTGGAGATACTGCTATTTCTTTAAACTATGTTTTCATCAATCCAGTTCCCTAACTAGACAGGCTTAATTAACTAATGTCCTTCATGTTTATGAGTACTAGCTGGTCCCTTCCAGAATTTCTCATGAACTTGCTCACATTGAACAATTCTGAATTCCAAATAGTTCACAAACAGAAGTGCCTCTGCCATGGGATGGTAGACGTCCCACCAGTGTTAGAAAAAGACCACACAGGCCTGGCACCGTGGCTCACGACTGTAATCCCAGCACTTTGGGAGGCCAAGGAGGGCAGATCAC